AGGAGGAGGAGGAGGAGGAGGAGGCCGAGCCCCGCGGCGCCTCCACCAGCACCAGCCGCGAGGCGCCGGCCGCATGGCCCGCCGCGGGCGGCGCGGCGTGCACGGGTGCCGGGCTCGCCGGGGGCGGCGCGGGCGGCGCCGCGAGTGGCGCGAGTGGCGCCGCCTGCGGCGGGGCCGCCGCGTGGGCGCCACCCTGCGTCGCCAGGGGCGCCGCGGCCGCCTGCGGTTCGGTCGGGCGTGTCCCCCTACAGTGAAAACGTATAGTAAGGACGCGAGGTAAGGACGCGAGACCCTTGGAGGCCGAAGTTGAAGTATTCTGGGCGGCAGGCGGCCAAACCCCCAGGGAGCCTGAGAAACTGGCCCGCGAAAGTTGCTGGGGACGGGCCGCAGAGGCTGAGGCAGGCAAGGACCCAAGGGTAGCCTTGAAAAGGTCGTTTGTCCTTACTATGCGCGTTGACTGTGCAGGCGGATCCTGGAAGGAAAATAAGAAAGGATCAAATCGCCGAAGGATCGTCCCCAGACTATTTCCCAAACATCCTGTGGTGTTGGGTCCTCGTTTCGAGGAGACAGCGCCCCGCGTCACTCCTCCCGCTGCCCCCTCCTCCCGCGCAGTCCTCATGGCGGCGCCGCCCCATGTTGGCACACACACACACACACACACACACACCCACACCGCACGTTTCGTGGCCCAATTGGGAGCTCCACCTCAGGTCCCAGTGGCTCAATCCGCATGGCGGCGCCGCCCCATGTTGGCACACACACACACACACACACCGCACGTTTCGTGGCCCCATTGGGAGCTCCACTTGAGGTCCCAGTGGCGCAGTCCGCATGGTGGCGCCGCCCCATTTTGGCACACCCCTCACACGTTTCGTGGCCCCAAAGAGAGCTCCGCCCTGCCCCATTCCGGCACACTCTTTACGCGCTTCGCGGCCCCATACAGACCTCCACCGAAGCCCCGAAGCCGATACCAACAACGACGGCATTCACAACTGCATCTGGTTCGGCCCTCGCCAGGTCAATTTTGAACTAGTTTTGAATATTCCTCCTGTACAGTCGGGCCGCTGAAAGGAGGAACGCTACATAAGGAACGGAGCCCCTTCTTGGCCCTGTGAGCGCCTCCGTGCCCCAGGAGGGCAAGAGGAACAGCACTGGAGGAACCTAAGGAATATCGAGCCCCTCCCGAACCCAAACTGTTTCCTTATTTCGGCGTCTTGACTGTATCGGCGGTGGACAAACATCCCTTTAATATAAACCTCCCCTCAATGAACACGGCCTGGGACCGACACCGACGGACCTGGACCCGCAACAATGACGGCCGCGACGCCCCCTCGCGAACCCAGAACGGCCAATTCCTGAATCGACGTGCCAGGGTAGGAGATCTATCCACCCCCGACTGTAGAGTTATGTCGGGCGTGTCCCCCTAAAGAGGAATTTTCGACGAAAAACAAAAAATACCAAAAATGCAGCCAAAAGGCAACAAAAATACTCCAAAAATAGTCCCCAGACTATGTTTGGACTATTTTTTGACTAATGTTTGGGGTATCTTGAACTTTTCGTCGAACATCCCCCTGTAGGGAGACAGGCCCGACTTAACTGTAGAGGGACACGCCCGACTTGAGCGTCCGGAGGACGAGGAGGAGGAGGAGGAGGAGGAGGAGGAGGAGGAAGAGGAGGGAGGAGGAGGAAGAGGAGGGAGGAGAGCGGAGGAGAGGAGGGTGGACGAGAGGAGGAGGGAAGGAGGAGGGGAGGAGGAGGAGGAAAGGTAAGGAGAGGAGGAGGAGGAGGGAGGAGGAGGAGGGACACGCCCGACTCGAGCCTGCGGCGGGGCCGCCGCGTGGGCCTCGCCCTGCGGCGCCAGGGGCGCCGCAGCGGGGCGCGCCTCGGGGCCCGCGTGGCACGGCGCGCCCAGCAGCGGCGCCTCCGCGCGGAGCGCCGAGCGCCTCGCGGCGCTGGGCGCGAGGCGCGGCGGCTGGGCGCTTCGGCGCGGGGCGTGCCGGGCGGGCCTTCGGGGACGCACTGACCAAATGGTCGAGCACCCCGCAATTGCGGATAAGAGTGAGGGGGCGGGCGCGGGCGACGCGGGCGTCGTCAAGCCGGCGGACCTCGTGGCCCCCACCTTCCCTGTCGATGGCGCTCTCCTTCTCCCCCTCCTCCCCCTCCTCCTCCTCCTCCTCCGCCTCCTCCTCCTCCTTTTCCTCCTCCTTCTCCTCCTCCTATTCCTCGTCCTCGTCCTCGTCTTCATCGTCATCGTCGTCCTCCTCCTCCACCTCGTCCTCCTCCTCCTCCTCTTCTTCCTCGTCCTCCCTCTCCCCCCCTCGTCCTTCCATCATCGTCCTCCCATTGTCGTCATGTTCCTCCTCGTCGTCCTCCTCCTCTTCCCCCCCTCCCGATCCTCCCCCCTCCTCCTTTTTGTCGTCGTCGTCGACGTCGTCGTCGTCGTCGTCGTCGTCCCCTTCCTCCCCCTCCTCCTCCTCCTCCTCCTCCTCCTCTTCCTCCTCCTCCTCCTCGTCCTCCTGCAAAAGCAGCCCGCCGCAGGCGCCGAAAAATTTGGTTTGTACACTGAACGTGGTTTGGGTCGCTGGTGGGCCGCGGGTTCTCCACCAGGAACGAATGCAAAAGATGCCCGCCGCAGGCGCCGAAAAATTGGTTTGTACCCTGAACGTGGTCGCGGGTGGGCTGCGGTCTCTCCACCTAGAACGAATGCAAAAGATGCCCGCCGCAGGCGCCGAAAAATGTGGTTTGTACCCTGAACGTGGTTTGGGTCGCGGGTTGGTCGCGAGTTGGTCGCGGGGTGGGTCGCGGGCTCTCCACCTGGAAGGAATGCAAAAAAAGCCCGCCGCAGGCGCCGAAAATGTTGGTTTGTACCTTGAACGTGGTTTGGGTCGCGGGTGGGTCGCGGGTGGGTCGCGGGGTGGGTCGCGGGTGGGTCGCGGGTGGGTCGCGGGTGGGTCGCGGGTGGGTCGCGGGTGAGTCGCGGGGTGGGTCGCGGGTGGGTCGCGGGTGGGGTCGCGGGGGGGGTCGTGGGGTGGGTCGCGGGTGGGTCGCGGGTGGGTCGCGGGTGGGTCGCGGGGTGGGTCGCGGGGGGTCGCGGGGTGGGTCGCGGGTGGGTCGCGGGTGGGTCGCGGGTGGGTCGCGGGTGGGTCGCGGGGTGGGTCGCCGGTGGGTCGCGGGGCGGGTGGCGGGTGGGACGACGACAACAAACAACAACAACAACAAACAACAACAACAACAACACGAATCCGCACCGCGGAATCCCACTTCAGCCACGCACCCAGGGACAGTGAATGACCGTTCGGCCCCCTCACTCTGATATATACACACACATACAGGGTATATATACACACACATACAGGGCAGCGTTTAGCACATAGGATGTTTAAACATATGCGATTTCGAATACATGATTATTTCAAGAATGATGTCGTGCATGAACTCATCGTTGCTGTTTAGACTAAATCCCGGCATTTGTTGTACATGATCCGCACGCGGAGCATGTATTAAAAACGGCACTGTACACATAGGTATACAACACAAGTAGTCGACTGTTTGTTGGCCATCTGTGAGTATTCCTCCTGTAGAGGGACATGCCCGACTTCAGCTTAGAGTGTCTCCGGGTCGATCCAGACCCGTGTCAGTCATGCCTTGCTGAAGCCTGCAAGATCCTGCAAGATCCTGCGCCCAAGCGCGGGTCAATGCGAAAGATAATTATCCGGCAAGATCCTGCAGGATCCTGCACCCAAGCCCGGGCCGATGCGACCCAGGCCCTGCAGCATCCTGCAAGATCGGGACTTCTGGCTGACCCCCGTTTGCACTGACCCCCGTCTCAAGTCTTGAGCAGGGACCGACCGCCCCGGCATTCCTATAGGTCTACCACGGGATGTTCTTACGACAAAAAGAATGTTCTTAGAACATAAGCCCGATGTGTTAAAACAAAACAGTCCCAGCCAGAAATGTTCGAGAGAAAGTTTCGCGCAGACCACAAAAGGTTAGTATATTTTTTGGTAGGCGTATAGGCAAACCAAGACGCCTCGCAACTGCTTGAAAGGTCACTGCACCGACCATGCAGACGTGCTGCAGCGGATTTTCGCGTGGATATTTGTCAATGCAAAACCCCGAAACTGCGAGCGAAAAACGAAGCCAATCTCACGTGGATTTGTTGTAGTCTTCAATCCTGGCCAAGACAAAATGCGCACGAAATTCACATCGAAATCCAGAACGAAATTATCCAGGACACATTGGGCCCCTCCCATAGATTTCCTAGTGAAATCCGCTCTGCGAAGTTGGCGCCATGAGAAAGGCTCCGGAGGCCTTCAGGGCAGGAAGTCTCGACCCATTCCACAGGACCGGCTTTTCGTCATGACTAAGTCTTTGACGCTCCCGGGGCCAGGCGAGGGCCGAAAACGGCCAAAAACGTGCCGTCGTGATTTTTTCATGACTCGAGGGGGTCTGGGTCTCAAGGCTCCCGAGGCCTCCAGGGCAGGAAGTCGCCGGCCCCGCTGGGCCGCCGCACCGCGGGCTCGGGCCCGCTCGCGGCGCCAGGCGGCCGCCGCGCCAGCGGCAGGCTGAGGCGCTGCGTGCCAGCGTTCCAGTCGTGGGGCCCCGCGCGGTCGCCTAGCTCGAGGCTCGTCGGGCAGAGCCAGTCGGAAACCTACGGGGAGGAGGAGGAGGAGGAGGAGGAGGAGGAAGAGGAGAAGGAGGAGGAGTCGGAGGAGGAGGAGGAAGAGGAGGAGGAGGAGGAGAAGGAGGAGGAGGAGGCTCTGGATGGCGACGAGGTGTACCGAAGACGATGCACCAAGCCAAGGAGGAGGAGGAGGAGGAGGAGGAGGAAGAGGAGGAGGAGGAGGAGGAGGAGGAGGCGGAGGCCTGGTCGGTGGGAAGCGCAGTGGAGGCCGCGCTCGCCGCCTCTGCAGCGCTCGTCGCCTGGGGGGCGGAATGCCTCCTGCCGCCCTGTGTTCTCTGCAGCCGGGCTCTGCGCAGGGGTGCGTGCTGCGGCCCCAGCCACACGCCGGCTTCGGAGGGCATATCTTGGCGGCGCGCACAAGGGGGATACAGTCGGGGCGTTGACCTAAGGAACCCTAAATAAGGAACGAGGCCCCTTTTCCCCATAAGTTCAACCTCGATTTCCGATGAAAGCCCTCAGGAAAACCCGAGGCAAACTTTGAAACATTCAAGGAACACCGAGCCCCTCCCCAACGAAAAGGGTTCCTTCTTCAGGGCCCCGACTGTAGGGGGAGGGGGGAAGGCTTCCCCCCTCCCCCCACCCTCTCTGCTCGCCGCCGACTAACAGAGACGGCTGCGTCGGATAGCTCCACGCGCGCGCAAGATTTGCGCGCTGCGGAAGCGAGGCGTCCATCGGCCCAGCGGGGCGAGCCGCGTGGCTTGAGCCAGCCTGCGTTGCAACGGACAGTGAGTGGAGCAGGAACCAGTGCAGGGATGGTATCGGAGGGCGGTGTTGGGCCCTTGTTTTGAAGAGACGGCGCCCCGCGTCTCACCTCCTCTCGCTGCCCCCTCCCCCTCCTCCCTCCTCCCATCATGCCAGCTCAAGCTACTTGCAACGAGCCAAGTGCAGTCAAAAAGCCTCCCATCATGGGAGATCCACCGAAGGCTCCAGTGGCACAGGCGGCACGCGTCAACGCCACCCAGGACAGCGCTTCGTGGCCCCATAGGGAGCTCCACCGAAGGCTCCAATTGCACAGGCCGCATGCGTCAACGCCACCCAGGACAGCGGTTCGTGGCCCCACAGGGAGCTCCCAATGGCGCCGTTCGCATGCGTCTCCCCCACCCAGGACAGCGTTTCGTGGCCCCAGAAGGACCTCCACCGAAGGCGTCAGTGGCGCAGTTCGCATGCTTCTACGCCACCCATGACAGCGCTTCGTGGCCTCAAAAAGAGGTTTTAGCGAAGGTCCCAATGGCGCAGTTCGCATTCGTCTCCCCCACCCAGGACAGCGCTTCGTGGCCCCATAGGGAGCTCCACCGAAGGCCCCAATGGCGGTGTCCACATGCGTCAGCGCCACCGATTTCGGCGCACCCCTCACACGTTTCGTGGCCCCATAGGGAGCTTCATCGAAACTGGTATCCAGAATGCGGTACTCGCAACTGCATATGGTTGGGTCATTCGATTGTTGTTTTGTTTTTGTTTGTGATGTGTTCGATTATTGTGTATTTTCCCGCCCAGAATCTGCCTGTAGGGGGACACGCCCGACCTAAGAGTAGATGGGGTCGGAGGATCGCGCCGCATCGCCGATGCAGCGACGATGCAGCTCGATGTGGAGCCCGTGTTTCCCCACGCCGACGTCGCCGACGCACGCCGAGGTCACCGATGCGGCGAGATCCTTCGACCCCATCTGCATCGTCCCCAGACTATGCTTAAACTATTCTTGAACATTCCTCCTGTAGAGGGACATGCCCGACTTAAGCGATTTTTTCATGACGTGAACCCTCAGCGGTCTGGACCCATTCCCCCCGACCGGTTTTGCATCCTGAGTCGTTTTTCGTTTTTGTGACGGTCCCGAGGGCCGGTGAGGGCCCCCAGAGGCCGAACATAGCGAAAAAAACGTTCCGTCGTGATTTTGTCGTGCCTCGAAGGGGTCCGGGGCCCCTCGAAGCCCATCTCCAATCTGGAAGGCTTGGGGTGTGCTCGGGGATCTTCTGACCCGGGTCAATCCCGACCCGGGTCAGTCAACCCTTGCAGAATTCTGCAAGATCCTGCAAGATCCTGCACCCAAGCCCGGGCCAATGCGAAGGATCCTGCAGGATCCTGCACCCACACCCGGGTCAATGCGCCCCTGGCCTCTGCAGGATCCTGCAAGATCGAGCACTCTGGCTGACCCCCGTTTACATTGACCCCCGTCTCAAGGCTCCCGATGTGCCCCTGTTGCTGTCCGCCCGGGCCCAGCCCCGGCCCTCGGCCCTCGTCGCCCTCGGGCCCACGCGCCCCCCGGGGGGCGCCCGCCGCTCCTCCTTGTAGTTGGGGAAGACCACCCAATGGACCACCGCCTCGGCGTCGGCAGCCTGCCCGGGGAGAGGGCAGCAGCGGTGGCAGCAGCAGCAGCAGCAGCAGGAAGTCAGGCGCCCGGAGGTGCGCAGGACGCTAGCGCAGAGATGTGTGGAAGATTGGCACCAACAGAACACCCACAGACACACACACACACACAAACACACAGAGACGCACACACGCACACACACACAGACACACACACACACACAAACATACACAAACACACACACACAAACGCAAACACACACACAGACACACAGACACGCACACACACACACCATTCTGCACTACAGCTGCAGGTGTGCCGTGCCCATACAGTAGAGGAAAGTGAAAAAAGGAAGTAGAAAGTGAAAGTATAAGAAAGCTCGTGAAAGTAGAAGAAGAACACATGCCATCAACATAGACTGATCCAAGAACTCCGCGCGGAGCACCAAAAGTTTATGTTCGTGGCGTTTGTTCCTCTTCGAGAGAAGGCTTATGCGGTTCCCATCGTATGTAAGGACCACATCCCCAAAACATTTTCGAGCACCCAGGAGAAGTATCGAAACAGTGTCGAACGAGTATCGCCTCCCAGGGCCCGACACATGAAAACCCTCCAGTTTCGGTGCTTTCTTGGTGCTCGAAGTTCTTTCTGGTAATCAAGGCTAAAGTAGGTTGGAACATCACGAAAGAAGGCGCGGCAGGGCCATCCAGGCTCGTGGGAGCTCAGATTCTGCCCAGATCGCAGCGGCCGCCCCGAGAGACGCCGGGCACGGTGCGGACGCCCGCAACTCGCACCATGCTCGAAAGAGAACGCGCGATCCGAGTCTCCCCGACCTGCTCACGAATCATAAGCTTAGGTCGGGCGTGTCCTTCCAGAGGCTGATTGTGGGCGAAAAATGGGAACTAGTTAAACACGCGTAAGAATTAGCAAACAAAAAACATGGACAAATCGTTCGCAGACTATTCTCCCGCGATTTTTGAATCTCCTTCATGTAGAGGGGCGTGCCCGACTTAATCATTAAGCTCAAGATTATGGAGGCGTCTGGGCGAACTCCGAAGCAACGGTTCAAGAACGGTGGTCTCGACAAACTGGTAACTTTTCACTTGGGGATCCGAGATGCATGTGTCAACTACTGGCACAGCCCCAAACACATCAAGGCTGCGTGTGCATCTTGATACCGTTACAATGCGAGACATCTCCCTTCTTTTGAACTTCTCGCACCGCAGGGAAAACGTACCAGTGCCAGTGACATGCCACCTGCTGCCCAACATGAGCAACATCCACGATACCACTGAGAAGAGAGCTCGGCAACTACGGGATGAGAGGGGCACAGTGCCTTGACAGGGTCCAGGGAGGGCCTTGGCGGCATGCGCATCTTCTGTCTCATCTCCCCCAGAGTGAACGGGCAGTAGAAGACCATGTAGACCCTCCCCTCCTCGCGCCGCCGGTCCGCGGCCGACGCCGGCAGGGACGCCAGAGACCCGAAAACCTCTCGTTCCAACCTGCCCCGCTTCCCCACCACGCTCTCTGAGAAGGGGCACGCCAACATGGGTGACCCCGACGGCCTCCCAGACAAGTAGGCTCCTGGCGAAGCTCTGCGTGCGGGAAGGGATGCCCCAAAACACCATCGGAAACCGAACGCGGTGCGGTGTCGTTGCAACCAGTTGCCCTCTCCCGCCCAACTGAGCGTCTAAAGTGATACGAACATTATGCGAAGCGAAGGGGAAGCTGCGCATGGAATGCATACGGCGAACTTAGCACATGCGTCGGCGGTCCCCCAAAGCCCGCCCAAGACGAAGGCGCGCGAACGGTTAGGCATTTTGGCTAATGGGTGGGCAATTTTCAACAGCAGGCCAATTACCGTCTCCAGGGAAGTCGTTAATCTACTCGCGCGCCCCACTGGGGGCTTGCGTGCAGCACAGATATGCGCGCACTCCCACGCACGCACACTCGCACACAAGCTGGATACCTCAAACCTGCACGCGTTACGAACAAGCTGCTGGTAAAGGTCGTTGGGCCTGAGTATACCACCGTGGCTTCGAGCACCAACGCATGTCTGAAAACAACACAACGCGCACGTGACCGCCAAGCGCCGACGGAACCATGACCCTGCACATGCCACACGAAACCTGCGAGCACCACAGCATGCACAAACAGATTCCAGACCCTCCAGTCCCATAACAGACTGCGAGCAAGATGGCCAACCTGCGAGAAAGACGGCCAACGAACACACAACGTGCCTGTGACCACCGTGTGCTTCGAGGAATGTCGGCAACACGCGCCTGCGCACGGCAGAACACGGGGCCCTACCAGTGCTGCATCAGCCCGTGCGAGCCCCGCAGCGTGTCCGCGAGCAGAACGCTGTGCCTGCGAGCAGGGGCAAGTTCAGGCACATCAGTGCACAAGAGGCCGCCAGTCCCACACAATAGGCTGCCGACGCCACAGCGCGCCTGCTGGCGCCACACAGGGCGGCGTGCCTGCGAGCCCCCGTGTGCCCCGCGAACGGCAGCACCACGTATGGCCAACAATGCGGCGGACCTCGCGAAGTCCACAACTGACCACGAAAGAACACATCCCCAATCCCAAAATCGCGGATTCACCGAGGATTCGAAGATCGGCCAAAGACTTCGGGGTATGTTTTGCGTTCGTCGTCGTCGCCCTGGTAAAACCCTACCCCAAAATCTCCCTCCCCGAAGTCTCGAAGAGCCTGAATTTTATCTTGGCCCTCGCGTTTTTGGGATTGGGCATCTGTTTTGACTTAGTGAACAACAGCCCCCGAACGACCAGCGCTTCCTCCGCGAGCTCTGGAATGGTCGGGTCCCCCAGTCGAGCCTCCGAAGCGGCATGCAGTGGCGCGCGGTGGGCGGCGGGTAGGCTTCTGGATGCATCCCGGGGCGCCCCCGGGGGAGGCTTCTGGATGAATCCCAGAGGCCCACTGTCGGCCGCTGTGGGCCGCTGCTCGTGGTCGTGCTCGAGACCACGCGCGCTGAGGCCCGCGCGGTGGCCCGCTCATGGTCGTGCTCGCGGCCCGTCGCTAGGAGGAATAAGAGGAGGAGGAGGAGGAGGAGGAGGAGGAGGAGGAGGAGGAGGAGGAGGAGGAGGAGCGGGAGGAAGAGGAGGAGGCGGAGGAGGCGGAGGAGGCGGAGGAGGCGGAGGAGGCGGAGGAGGAGGAGGAGGAGGAGGAGGTGGCGCCCGGCGTGCACCTCGCGGCGCGTCGCTGCCTGAGCTCGGGGCGGGCGCTCTGACCCGAGGCCTGCGCCTGTGCCTGCAAGGCCGGCCACGCGGCCAGCACTACCAGGCTATAGCCCCCTCTTCTTCCTCCTCCTCCTCCTCCTCCTCCTCCTTCTCCTCCTCCTCCTCCTCCTCCCCCCTCGCGCTCGGCCCGAGGCAACGAGCCTGGCGAAGCGAGGCGACACACCGTTCTGAGCATTCGCAGCACTGTCGCGGAGGGACGTTCGCCCTTGCCAGAACAAGAAAGCACGGCATAAACATAAACTTGTGGCGCTCCGCGCGAACTTCTTGGATCTGCGCTGGGCCCCCCTTCTCTGGCGCGCGGAGCGCGCCAGGGGCACAACGCGGATCCAAAAAATTTGCGCGGAGCGCCAAAAGTCTATGTTTATGGCGTTTTTTTTTCTGCTCCGAAACATGGCGCACAACGCGGATTCAAGAAGTCCTCGCGGAGCAGCAGGAGTTTCTGTTTATGGCGCTTTTTCCTCTTCGAGGTTCGCCCTTGCAGCCCCTCGGGGGCGGCCAAGAGGGGGGCGTCCAAGAGGGGTTTGTGCAAATCATAGCCGGCGGCATGTGCGCGGCCCAGGGGGGTGCCGGGAACGTAATGACATAGGAAGGGGCGCCATGACATCTGGGGAGGTAGCATGGCCCCCGCCATGATATATCCCTCCCTGATCATAACCCCCCCTCTTTGCCGCCCCCGATGTATGGCATTATGTCTGCTTCTAGGTTCGCCCTGGCAGCCCAAGGGGGGAGGGGGTGAAGGGGCCCTGGGACACACAAATCAATACACACAAATAAAAAGATCCCCCATGTTTTCCCATAGTTTCTGGGTTTCTGTCTTTCCCCCCACTGCCCATATTTTCTCCCATGTTTTCCTGGGAGGCGACGATTAGTTGTGTCTGTGTTTTTGTCCCCTCCTGAGGGGGGGGGCCTCAGACCTCCCTTTAGTAAAACGTGGTTTAGTGAAGACGACCTCGGGCCCAAACCTGGCGGGCGCAAACCTGGAAAATAACGGCCACGGCGTCGTCTCGAGAACCGAAAACGGACAAAACACTAATCGACGTGTCACTGCTGGGGGTTCTGTCCACCCCCGACTGCTTCGAGGTTCGCCCTGGCAGCCCAGGGGGGGGAGGGGGCGGCCTCCGGAAGCCCGGCGCCGCGCCTCGGCGCCAGGGACTGCGACTGTCGCGCCTGCAGGGGCAGGAAACATCGTCCACAGGGAGGCATCCTCATACACTCTTCTCCCCCTCCTCCTCCGCCGCCTCCTCCTCCTCCTCCTCCGCCTCCGCCGCCTCAAATCGTGGTCTTCCTCCTCCTCCTCCTCCTCCTCCTCCTCCTCCTCCGCCTCCTCCTCCTCCTCCTCCTCCCCCTCCTCCTCCGCCCCAAATCGCGGTCTTCCTCGCCTTCCTGTATCCTCCCTGCACGGGCCCAGGGCCTCCAGAGGCCCACCTCCGCTTGTCCTACCGGGCCCGCCCTGCGCCCGGGGGGCGCGCCCCGCCCCCCGCCCGTTGGAGAACACCATCACGGACGAGACCAGCACGAGCAGCGTGTAGACCTCCAGGAGGAGGACGAGGAGGACGAGGACGAGGAGGAGGGAGGAGGAGGAGGAGGAGGAGGAGGAGGAGGAGGAGGAGGAGGAGGAGGAGGGAGGAGGAGGAGGGAGGAGGGGGGGGGAGGAGGAGGAGGAGGAGGAGGATGATGCCCGCGGGGTGAGGCGGACCGCGTCGAGCCACGGCCACCCCTGCGAGGCGCGCGCCCCACGCGCGCCCGCGCCTCGGCGCAGCTACGCACCCGAGGCTGTCGGCCAGGCCTCACCCCGCGCGGCCCGCAGCAACCTCGCCACCTTGGCTGCCAAGCCTGGCGAGCTGCTGCGTTCCCGCGCTCCGCGCCGCGGCCTCGGCCAGCCGCCTCCGCCGCCCGCAGCCCCTGCTTCGCTTCGAGCAGCAGAGCCACCTGCGGGCGGCAGCCTCTCCTCCTGCAGCCCGCTCTCCATGGCCACGTGGTCGCCGCCCGCAGCCCCTGCTTCGCATCGAGCAGCAGGTTCCCCTGCGGGCGGCTGGACCTCCTCCTGCGGCCTGACCTCTGTGGCCTCGCGCGGCGGGGACGGTCCGCCGCCGCTGCCACCTGCAACCACCTCGTCTCCTCCCTGTGCAGGGCCCGCCACAGGCCGCTGGCACTCGCCCTGCTGCTTGGCCACCTTGGCCACACGCCTCGGCGACTGCGAGGGCGGCGTCAGCTCGGCCAGCCTCGGTGAGCTGCTGCGCACTCGCGCGCGGCGCCGCGCGCCTGGCCCTCCGCCGCCGCCCGCAGCCCCTGCCTCTCCTCGTGCCGCGGCATGGCGCACCGCGGCTGCACGCCTGCCGCCAGCTCGCCCGCTCGGGCCAGCCGCTGCGTTGTAGCCCTCCGCTTCGTCCGCCAGCACCTGGGCTCCACTGGCCTCGCGTGGCTGGGGCGGTCCGCCGCCGCTGCCACCTGCAGCCACCTCGTCTCCTCTCTCGGCAGGGCCCGTCTCAGGCCGCTGGCTGCCCTCCTGCAGCCTGGCCACCTCGGCCGCCGTCTTCGGCGCCAGCGAGGGCGGCGTCGGAGCGGCCTGCCTCGGCGAGCTGCTGCGCACACCCGCGCGGCGCCGCGGGCCTGGCCCGCCGCCGCCGCCTGCAGGCCCTGCCTCTCCTCTTGCGGCCTCCTGGCGCGCCGCGGCTGCACGCCCTCCGCCAGCTCGCCCTCTCGGGCCAGCCGCACCGCGGTAGCCCCCGGGGGTCAGGGGACGCAGTGAGCTCGTGTCCTCCCCGCCACCTGGAGCTCCTTCTGGCTTGCGCAAGGCGTGGCCGTCCTCCTCCCCCGCGACGTCCTGCGGCGACTGGCCTCTCACCTCCTGCGCGTCGTCCGCCATCATCGGCGGGGGCGGTCCGCCGCCGCTGCCACCTGTGGCCACCTCGTCTCCTCCCTCTGCAGGGCCCGCCTCAGTCCGCTGGCTCTCCTCCTGCTGCAGCTTGGCCACCTTGGCCGCCCGCATCGGCGACCTCGAGGGCGGCGTCAGCGCGGCTTGCCTCAGCGATCTGCTGCGCACACGCGTGCGGCGCCGCGGGCGTGGCCCTCCGCCGCCGCCCGCAGGCCCTGCTTCGTCTCCTGCCTCGGCCTGGTGCGCCGCGGCTGCACACCTGCCGCCAGCTCGTCCTCTCAGGCCAGCCGCCGCTCTGGAGCCCTCAGGGGTCAGGGGACGCAGTGAGCCCGCATCCTCCCCTGCCCCTCCACCTGGAGCTCCTCCTGGCGGCCTCAAGGAGTGGCCGTCCTCCTCCTCCGCGATGTCCCGCGGCGACTGCCCTCTCCCCTCCTGCACGTCGTCCGCCAGCACCGTGATGTTGACTGCCACCTCGCTGACCACCTTCGGAGCCAGCCCCTTCCTCAGTCTCGCGACTGCGGCGGCACCTGCAGCCGACGGGACACTCCTGCACTCGAGGTGGAAGGAGCTCGCTCTGGCCGCGCCTGTGAAGCCGCACGCCCTGCAAGCGACCAGCGGCATCCTGCGCACCAGCATCATCCAATCCACAGGCGCAAGGAGCACCAGGTCGTGCGACGCCCTCTGCTGCGCCTTCAGCCTGCTGTTGGCCCTGATCGCTTCGGCGACGATGCTGCCAGGGCACTCACCTGATCTGCCTGACCATCTGCAGACCTCGCACCAGGGACGCTGGCCAGGCAGCCTCCGCCAGACGCAGGCCATCCTCGCCGCTGGCTCCTTGCGCACTGGCAGGGCTCGCTGCACCTTCGTCTTGCCGTGCGTGGTGTCGCTGCCGTCGACCCAGCTGCCGACAGCCGCGCACCACATGGCTGCTCGTTCGACCACGTCTCGGCTCCTCTCCAGGCGCTCTCTGTCCCGCGCGGGGAGGCGCCCGCTGGCCGCCGCAGCCTTTGCCGCCCTGTCAGCCAGTCGGTTGCCGTACCAATCTCTGTACAGCACCTCGCCTGCCGCCACCTGCCGCCGCGTACTGTGGCTGGGCATCCACCTGAGGCTGACCTCATGCCCGAGACCTCCTCGCTCGTCCAGCAGGTCCCAGGCTCGCCGCCACAGGTGCGCCCACGTGTACGCGTAGCCCGTGGTGCCTACCCTGCCGACCTTGTAGAAGCCGTCGTACACGTACTTGGAGTCGACCACCAGCACCGTGACCCTTGGCCAAACCTGAGCGCCATGATCACCGCCGTGAGCTCCCCGCCGTTGATGTCCACGCAGTGGCCCTCCATCTGGCCAGCGATGGAGGCCTTGTAGCCGTCGCTGTGCGCCTGCAGCGCCACCACACTCCAGCCAACTGCCGCCACCTCCTCGTAGTCCGCCTCGAACGCCGAGCCGTCGAGAAACAGCTCGCCTTCAGGAAGGGTGCCTCCTTCGTGGTCGCCCTTCCAGCACACGTCGCTGCACACTGGCGGGCTGCGGATGCCCCGTGGTGTCGGCCACAGGCACCTCTCCAGCAGCAGCTGCACCTCAGGCCTCCCGCTCTGCCTTCGGAGACCTGCCAAGTCCTCTGGGACGGTCAGCACCTCACTCCAGCACGGGCAGTCGAAGTGCCTGTGCATCAGCGTACCCCTGGCGCCACACCTCAAGCACCCAGCACTGGGCGCCAGCCCCTTCTCCTCCTTACGCGCCTGAGTCCACTGCCCGTCGATGATGAGGGACCTCAGGTAGGCCTGCTCTCGCGCCGTCAACCGAACCCTGGTGCGAGGTGCTCCCTCCTCACGGCGTGGCTCGTCGGCTTTCCTGGCACAGCCAGAGGAGGTGAGCCTGACCAGGGGCTCCAGCTCGCCGCCACCAGCCAAGTGCGCACAACCTGGGGCTTTGCTGACCTGCCTCCACTGCCAGCGCTGCACTGCTCTCCTCATCAGCTTGGCCACGACCCACGGCGCGCAGTCGAAGGGCGCGATGGCCACGCCGTCGTCCATGACCCAGCGGTTGGCGGCGACGACGTCCCATCCGATCCTCCTGAGGGAGAGCACCGTCGCCGCGCACGGGCCCTGCACGTGCACCCAGGACACGGGCCGCTTGTCCTCGAGGCCCTGCCACACCATGTGCAGCGGCACCCACTGCTCCCAGACCGCACGCAGCAACATCAGCACCGGCTTGCAGGTCGCGTCATAGATCGGGTCGAGGCCTGCCTGGAGCATGAGCCCGAGCGACCTGGACTTGCTCGCCGTGGTGCTGGAGACCGCGACGAACGTGAGGGTCCTGGCGCGGTCCAGCTCCCCTTCCGTGCAGCCCGTGATGGCCGTGCCGTACCCGATGCATGGGTGCAGCCCCGTCTTCACGATCCTCTTGGTGGCCTTCCGCTTGGCCTTGACCACCTGCAGCACTTTGATCCTGCGCAGCCTGCCTCTCGCCTGCGCCATCCTGTCGTGGCGAACAGCCCGTCCTATCCTCTTGCCCCCACTGAAGTCGACCCCCAAGTTCCTCTCCTGCCCCGTGGCGCGCACCCCCAGCGGCTTCATCAGGCGCTTCTCGAGCTCCTGCCTCGCTGCTGGCACGTTCGCTAGCGCCCTGGATTTCTTCGCCGCGATCTCCAGGTCGGCCTCGCCGAGCAGTACCTTGAGATGCCTGGCCGCCAGCGTGAGGTCATTGACTGTCCGCTTGAAGCCGCCCACCCTCTTCAAGATGATGTCGTCCACGACCACCGACATCGCCAGCGTGGGCACCAGCTCCTGAAGCTTGTCCAGCGGCTCCAGCAGCAGCATCTTGAGCATGAGCGTCGCCAGCCCGTCTCCAGGCAGCACCGCCTGCTCGGTGCAGATGGCGTTGCTGACGGCTTCGTCCCGCGCCAGCCACCTGGGCGCTCGATACAAACTCACCTGCAACTTGAGCTGCCAGAGCGGGAAGCCCGTCCGCTGGGCGGCCTGGATGAGGCGCCCATGCTGCACCTGCTCGCACGCCTTGAGCAGGTCCAGGAGGATGAGGGCCGCGACCCAGCTGGATGCATCGCCAGCTTCGCGCCCCTTCGCTGTCGCCCACTCGCACTCCACGGCCTGCTGCCAGACTGCCCTCTCGCAGCCTCTGCCGCGCGCCGCCCAGAAGAACGGCCGATCATTCCTGCGCTCCCACTCCTCCGCCAGGGGCTTGCGTAACCTCGTCTGCACCCTCGCGAGGACGTGCACGATGGCCACGGGGCGCACGCCGCCCAGCCTCTTGGCCAAGAACACGATCTTGCTCTGGATCTGCGGCCACTCCGCGGCCTGCTCGACCGCCACCACGATGTCGATGAGGGTCTCTATCCCCTCGTCGCTGAGCTCCAGCAGCTGCCTCGGCTTGATCGCCTCGAAACCCGTGGCCGTGCCCTTCCTGAAGGACCTCAGGACTGCCCGCATCACCTCGCAGCTGGGCCTGGGGGGGCGCTCACCTAGATCGGTCGGCCACTCCAACTCGGCGTGGCTGCGCTGCACCCTCCAGATCTTGCTCCACTCCTTCTCAAGGTCGTCCAGCTCCTTGCTCAGGCTGGCGGGTCCAGCATCGATGCTGCAGTCGCTGCCCTGCCAGCCCACCGCCACTCGCGTGACCGCGTGGAGCCCTGCCGCTCCTCCTGTGAGCTGCTTCCCAACCCACTCGTCGAACTGCCTGCCCCTCTCGTCGACATCGCGCTTGGCGAGGTGACTGGCGTGCTGCTTCGCGCGGTCGGCCAGCCTCTCGAGCAGCAGGGGGTGCCAGCACGCCAGGCCCCCATGCTGCAGCATCCTCAGCCAGCGCCCAGCCTCCATGCTGCAGGAGGTGCCGCCTCCTTCCCCTGCGCGGGCCTCCTCGTCCTGCTGCAGCTTCCTGACTCTCTTCGGGGCCGCCGCCACCAGCTGGGGCAAGTAGCAGATCGCGTCGACCCTGGCCCTTGGTGCTTTCAGCTGCGCCATGGCCCCCAGCGCGTGGGCCACCCTGGCCATCCACGCTGCCTCAGGCGTGAGCCTCGGCGACCTGGGGTCCTGCACCCCGCTGCGCTTGACCAGCTTGGTGGAGAAACCGTCCGCTCTACCAACGTACCTGGCCCTCTGCTCCTCCAGCTGGTATACGTCGACCCACTCGTCCTCCGCGCACTCCAGGAAGGCGGCGAAGGCGGCTGTGAGGGCTCCCTTAGCCCCCCCCCCCGCGGCGCCCTGTGCCCGCACGTCCTGCTGCAGGTGCAGGGCCTGCCCCTCCGCGGAGGCTGCCTGCCTCTTCTCGACCCAGAGGCTGGGGGGCCTCACGTGCACTCCTTCAGCCTCTTCAACCTGAAGGGGACTACCCGCGATTCCGTACGGTGCCTGGCTCGGATGTGCACTGCCAGTCCCAGCATGGGGAGGAATGTCCGCCTGCTCCTCCTGCGCAGCGCTGCCCGCGGCACTGCTGCCCTCACTCTCCGCTGCGTCGGCTCCATGCGCTCCTGGCGCCCGAGCCCCGAGTTGTGCTGACTGGACCTCGCCGCGAGGTGCTGCACCGCTGCTGCTGGGCTGAGCGGCCTCCTCCTCGGCGGCAGAGGTCGCCTGCCTCTTCTCGACCCAGAGGCTGGGGGGCCTCACGTGCACTCCTTCAGCCGCATCAACCTGAAAGGGCCAACCTGCGATTCCGTACAGTGCCTGGCTCGGAGGTGCACTGCCAGTCCCAGCATGGGGAGGTATGTCCGCCCGCGCCTCCTGCGCAGCGTTGCCCGCAGCGTCGCTGCCTCCTGTCCGCTGCGTCGGCGCCTTGCGCTCCTGGCGCCAGGGCTCCGAGGTGCGCTGGCTGGTCATCACCGCCTGGTGCTGCGCCGTGCCCTTCCGCGCCAGCTTCTCGCCATAGCCCGCAGTTGCCGAGGATGCTCTGCCACTCCTCGCCATGCTGGACGCAGCACCTCATCAGGTTCACCTCCGTCACGCAGGCCGGTGGCGCAGGTGCGATCGGGAGCACGCTGCTTAGCGGCCCCCATCTCTCCGCCGCAGCCATCCCCTCATCTCCCGTGCCCTTCGCTGGCCTGGGGGGCTCCTGACCTGCTGCACGCTGTCCTGCTGCGCCACCCCTGCTGCTGGGCTGAGGGGCCTCCTCCTCAGCACGTGGGGTGCTCCTCGCCGCGGCCTCGCCCTCGAACCTCAGCACCGAGGCGAGCTGCTCCTGCACCCTCAGCCTGGCTTGCCTCCAGCTGCTGCCGTGGTCCCTCTCACAGCACCCTTGTGGTCGAACCTCAGGAAAGGTCCGCGGCTTCTGGACCAGCCTGAAGCGCTCCTCCTCCTGCTGCCTGCGGATCTCGAGAATCACAGCCGAGTGCGGGTACACTGGCGAGGCCTCCACCACCCGCACCCCCAACGCAGCCAGCCCCTTGGATACCAGGAAGAAGTCGATGGTCCTCCCTGATGCTGCGCACGTGGGCGATGCAGGCCTGACCACCTTGCCATCGAACATGTCGGGCACCCCGCCTGCCTGCAGCTCCTCCTCCGTGAGGTTCCAATCGCCGCCCACTACAAAGTCCCTGCGGCACTGCCTCAACCTCCTTGCCAGCCTCCTGAGGCTGGACACGTTGCTGTCGTTGAGGCCGACCCCCGCCTCCAGGTAGATGTTGGCGAGCAGGAAGCCGCTGCGCAGCACGCCCGACACCCAACACAGGTGCACTCGCCCAGCCACCAGCACCGCTGCCTGCTGGTCCTGCACCTCCGCCATGCCGTGGCTCCTCCTCACCATTGTGAGGAGGCCTCCTGTGCTGAGGCCTCCTGCCGCTGACGGCACCGCGGGCGTGCCTCTCGCCCTCCATCCTTGACTCCGCAGCTGCGCCTCCGCGTCACTGCTCCTGCCCTCCAGGAGCCTCGTCTCCTGGACCAGAATGGCGTCGCAGTCCTGCACCTCGCTCACCGCCATGCACTTGCCCAGGTTGCAGAACGCATTGACGTTGACCGTGCAGATCCTCCAGACCCCGCACTTCATGCTAGGACTCCTCCTCCATCTGCTTGACCTCCGTCCGCATCTTCTTGGCGTCGCCCAGCAGCTGCTCGGCTGCTTCCCTCTTGGCGGGGTCCTCCATGCCGCACGCGATGTCCTGCCACACCTGCGCCGCCGCCTGCGACACGCCAGGCGCCTCCTCCTTGGGAGCGTCCACCTGCTGCGCAGCTGCAGGCACCGCCGATGGCACGGGGACCGCCGCAGCCACAGGCGCACGGGGGAGCGCCCCCGCAGCGGCGGCAGCGCCAGGCAAGCCACTGAGTTCCGCCAGCACCTTCCCGAGCTTCGCGATCTCGTCCCTCGACAGGCGGCCGATCGCCTCCTGAATCGACTCCAGGGAGGCCGCTGGTGCTGCTCTCGGCTCGGCGGCAGCTGCCGCCGCCTCAGCCTCCTCGGCCGCCAACCTGGCGCGCTGAGCCGCCAGCGCCTCCCGTGCCTTGGCCGCCGCCTCGTCGCACTCCTTCCGCAGCAGCACCAACTTGTCCGCGAGGCTGGCCGACTCGTTGATGGCTGCCACCGCCTTGGCCTTCGCCTGCTCCAGCTGGCCCTCCATCTTCTTGACCTGCACGACCTTGGCATCCGCCAGCACCTGGGCCGCCTTGACCGTCTTGTCCTTGGACAGCTCGGCCCCCGGTCCGCCCTCACGCAGCCTCCGCGCCTGCAGCAGCTGCTCGCGGACCTTCGGGGGCAGAAGCGCGGCGGCGAGGGCGAAGTCGGCCTCTGCCATGCACACGAAGCCACAGCGCTGCTCCTCGCTGAGCACCACGGCGCCTCCAGCGTCACGGCCGCCACCTTCTCCACCACGCCACCACGGGGCACGAGTGGGAGGCTTGCCGCCGCCAGCCCCACGCCCGCCGAGCCCGCCGCCAGCGCCGCCAGGAGCACCACCACCGCCGCCGCCTGCATTCCACCCACGCAGCGGAGGAAAGGCGCCCAGCTGCCGCGGCGCTGGCCACCCCGCTGGCTGGCACCCCTTGCGACAGCACGTCCTCTCGGCGAAGTTGTAGTAGTCGCACACCGAGCACTTCCACTTCGCAGGCCACGCCGCACGGCCGCCTCCCCCACGCCCAGCACCCACGCCGCCGCTGCCCGCCATGGCGCGCGTGAGTTTGGAAGGAGGCCGCCCGACTGCCAGAGTGCACACACTCTTGCCTGCGCACGGTAGTGCGATCCAGTGAAGCACGGAGGCTGAAAGCCCCCCGAGCAACCCATCTTGAGCCAAAATGGCTACGGAGGAGGAGGAGGAGGAGGAGGAGGAGGAAGAGGAGGAGGAGGGGGAGGAGGAGGAGGAGGAGGAGGAGGAGGAGGAGGAGGAGGAGGAGGAGGAGGAGGGAGGAGGGGGATGAGGAGGAGGACCGGCGCAAACCCAAGAGTCATCAACGATGTTGGAATAAACCCTCCCTGCGAGCTCCCTCGTCACAGGCCCCTACAACGGTTCATCTCCATTGGGGGAACTGCCTTGTTGGAAGGCATCCGTTTGACGACCCTGAAGCATACCAAAACATTGTTGTTGGGATTCCAGCGCCACGGATCAACCTGATTGTTGCGTCTTGACGATCCTGAATCGTGCCAAAACGACATTCCTGGGATTTCAACACCATTTCGGGTACGTTGATGATGCGATTTCGTGAATCCCTTGCACATCCTATAAAACAATGTGCGCGGCGCGAAGGCGAAACCCACAATTTGAAAAGGAACCGCCCTCAAGCCGTGAACCTTTTAGCAACTGTTTAACACGAATGTGCGCGGCGCTAAAGCGAGAACCACATTTTGAAATCGAAGCGCACTTAATCCGTGAAGCACTTGTAAACTTTTGAGACGAATGTGCGCCGCGCACGGGCGAGAGCCACATTTTGAAAACGACCCGCCCTCCATCTGTGAAGCTGCTGCCAATGTTTAACTTCAGAATCATTATTTGTGAGGAAGTCTCAGGCGAAACGCCCAGCCCGCCCTAACAACTGTCCTCGGGGTGCGACAGGCAGAAATTATTCATAAGGAAAAGGGATGGAGGAGGAGGAGGAGGAGGAGGAGGAGGGGAAAGAAGAGGAGGGGGAAGGGAAGGAGGAAGAAGAAGAAGAAGGGACCTCCTGAGGGTACGGGTAGGTCATCACGGTCAGCACGACCGGGGTGCCGAACACCATCAGTGCCGGGATTGACCTCGCCGACTCCGAGCGCGCGGCACGGGGCTGGCGACTAGACACCCTCGAAACTGTCAAAGATCTTGGGTATTCTGGACCCGCAAGGTTCTGGGCACCTGCAGATCCTGCGCTCATCAACCAGCCTTTCCGCGGTTGGAACAACTGGCAACAGTTCCAACAGGTGCTCTGTTGGGCGACGTCACTCGTAAGATACGCTTTGAGCCTCCCCCCCAAGAGCAGAACCTGATCTGCCAACTCCTCCTCCTGCTCCTCCTCCTCGTGCTCCTTCTCCTCCTCCTCCTCTTCCTCCTCATCCTCCTCTTCATCCTTCCCGGGCGCAGCGTGCTCCCGCTCTCCGAGGCAGGCGCCTGGGGGCCACGGGCGCCCACTCTCGCATCCTCTCTGTGCTGTATGAGCCGAGCGCGACGCACGACTTGCTTACGGTGGAGGAGGAGGAGGCGGAGGAGGAGGATGAGGAGGAGGAGGAGGCGGAGGACGAGAAGGAGGAGAAGGAGGAGGAGGAGGAGGAGGAGATGGAGGAGGAGAAGGATGAGGAGGAGGCAGCCTGCTGCGTGTCAGAGCCACGGCACGCGCAGCACAGAACAAGGCCGGGACGATTGCGGCTTCGGCGAACAACGCCTCACTCTTTGACAATTTCGCGAAGATGGCATTGTGCGCGCGAGCCAGTCGCGACAAGTGTCGAACACAAGCTGCGCTGGGCACAGTGTAGATGTACTGCTGTGCGCGATCAGAGCATAGTGCTGTGCACACTTCTTCCCAACGTCATATTGAATGCGCGGCCACTACGCTGCGTACTCAATAGATACATGCCAACATGTTACCACATTGCCTAACAATGCCCATTATGTAAAATCTACCACCGTGCCTTCGGCATGCTGGGGTATGCTAGAACGGTGATCGTTTTCTTATAAGGCGTTTCGACATTGGGCGGAAAGGGGGGGGTCTGGCTCCAGACCTCTGCACAATGCCACTGTTTGCAGCAGTGCGTCCTATGGGGGAGACTCCACCTGCTCGAAGCAGGCGCCCAAACTGCCAAGATCCACTCCATGGGGAGGGCCCGCGCCGATCGGCAAATGTGGTATGGTATGTGGTATGGTATGTATGGTATTGTTATAGTGTGGTGTGGTATGGTATGGTATGGCATGGAATGGTAGGCATGGTATCGGAGGCGGGGGGCGGGAGGGAGAAGGAGAGGATGTTCTGGGGAACAAAGTACCCCACTCAAGATGTGGGGAATAAGAACACGATCGCATGCTTGTCTGTTGGCTGGTAGGGCTTAGTGGCTGCTGAGGCCGACCCCCTCCCTCCCAATCACGAGCAACCTCCCAAACTCGCCGCCGTGGCTTCGCTTGCTCTCCGGCGCTCGCGGTCTCCAGACGACTCCAATATACGCCCGCAGAAGAACGCTCCCAAACGTCCCAAACGGCTGCAAAATGCCCCGACACTTATGTTGCTCCCATCGCACTTCAGGACCACATCCCAGAACAAATTTCGAGCTCCCAAAAATTTACCTGACGAAGGACCCAACCGTATGCAATTGCGAATACCGCTCCTTGTGGGTATGGTTTCGGCGGAGCTCCCCATGGGGCCACGAAACGCTGCCCTGGGTGGCGTTGACGCATGCGGCCTGTGCCTCTGGAGCTTTCGGTGGAGCTCCTTTGGGGCCACAAAGCGCTGTCATGGGTGACCCTGCCACTGCACCCTCGGTGGAGCTCCCCACGGGGCCACGATCCTCGTGAGGGGTGCGCCGATATGGGGCGAGGCCTCCATGCGAACCCTGCCACTGGCGCCTTCGGTGAGCTCCTATGGGGCCCCGATCCTCGTGAGGGGTGTGCCGAAATGGCCCGAGGCTGCCATGGGAACCTTGCCACTTGCGCCTTCGGTGGAGCTTCCTTGGGACCACAATCCTCGTGAGTGTGCGCCGAAATGGCCCGAGGCCGCCATGCGAACCCTGCCACTGGCGCCTTCGGTGGAGCTTCCTTGGGGCCACGATCCTCGTGAGGGGTGCGCCGAAATGGCCCGAGGCCGCCATGCGAACCCTGCCACTGGCGCCTTCGGTGGAGGCCACGATCCTCGTGAGGGGTGTGCCGAAATGGCCCGAGGCCGCCATGCGAACCCTGCCACTGGCGCCTTCGGTGAGGCATTATGGGGCCATTATCCTTGTGAGGGGTGTGCCGAAATGGCCCGAGGCCGCCATGCGAACCCTGCCACTGGCGCCTTTCGGTGGAGCTCCCTATGGGGCCCCGATCCTCGTGAGGGGTGTGCCGAAATGGCCCGAGGCCGCCATGCGAACCCTGCCACTGGCGCCTTCGGTGGAGCTCCGATGGGGCCACGATCCTCGTGAGGGGTGAGTCGAAATGGCCCGAGGCCGCCATGTGAACCCTGCCACTGGCGCCTTTGGTGGAGCTCCCTATGGGGCCACGATCCTCGTGAGGGGTGTGCCGAAATGGCCCGAGGCCGCCATGCGAACCCTGCCATTGGGGTCATCTGGGGCTCCTCGTGAGGAGTGTGCCGAAATGGCCCGAGGCCGCCATGCGAACCCTGCCACTGGACCCAAGGTCCGACATGTGAAAGTCCGCAGGTATCGATACTTTCTTGGTGCTCGAAATTCTTTCTGGTGGTCAAGGATAAAATCGGCTGGAACAGCAGAACCCAACACCATCCAAAGACGGCCAAGCGAGTTCCCAACTGCTTCTGTAGGATCCTTCACCACGACAAGCACAATGTGCACCAATCGCAATGACATCCAGAAAATAGATGTTCGGCATTCGCCATCGTGCCCTCGGGCACGAGCTGCTGTGCTCTCAAGTCCCTTGCTCAATCCCCTGAGCCTCCGTTTTCAATCCTGAGGATTCCTGAAGGTGCCCAGACCTCAAATTCCCAAATCTCTTCTGACTTTCCCTCTCCTCCTCCCCCTCCTCCTCCTCCTCCCCCTCCTCCTCCTCCTCCTCCTCCGCCTCGTCCTCGTCTCGTCCTCCGCCTCGTCCTCCGCCTCGTCCTCCGCCTCGTCCTCCGCCTCGTCCGCCTCCTCCTCGTCCTCCTCCTCCTCCTCGTCCTCCTCCTCCTCCTGGAGCGCGTCGTGGGTCTACTGGGCCTCGACGACGGCTTCCCGCGTGACTTTTGCGGGGCCGAGTGGGTTCCAAGAAGAGCCGCGAGGGCCCCAAGAGGCCGCCCAGTCAGTCCAAGAGGGCCCAGACTCGCCGAACGATCGGTCAAAGACGCCCAGGATGGCCTCCAGCTGGCCGACAACGCGCTCAAGACGCATCAAGAGGTCTCCAAGAGCACCTTCAAGAAGGCACCAAGAGGCAAACCTCGTCACATTATCTTAGGACAGCGTGCATTTCTAGCATACACGTGTTTGAGCTTTCACACTGTCCGGAACTGCCCAAGAGACCCTCAAGACGGCCCCAGAGGACTCCATGACGGCCCAAGAGGCGCCCACGACGGCCTAAGAGAGCCCCAAGACGGCCCCTAGATGGGCCCAAGAGTGGGAGCCTGAACCCACACTTCGAGCCTTCCATCCCAGAATACTCCCCAGGAGGCCCCACGAGACCCCGAGAAGGACCCACGAGGCCCCCAGGAGGCCTCCAAGATACCGCAGGAGGACCGACAACAGACTCGAAGAGACCTCAAAGCTGCCTCCACGATGTCCCCGAGAGGCCTCCCGCGACATCCCAACGAACACCCTGAAGGCCTACGGCCCACAACCCGTGCGCAGTGGCGCGATGGGCCGAAGGCCGCTCGATCTGCTTGGCACGAAGACGGAACGCGCTCGTGCTCTGTGAGGGCGTGAGATCGCCTGCTCAGTGTCTTGGAGCCCTCTATGCGTTAAAGACTGTGGCACGTCATGCAACGTTTTAACCACCAACCTCTTGCGACAATCAATCAATATAGCCATTGCGGGCCTTTGTGGATGTCCTTGTGGGGCTCCTTTGGGCAATATTTGAGTCCTCTTGAGTCGTCTTGAGGCCCTCTTGGGGGCTTGGGCCGTCTTGGGGCCCCCTTGGAGACATCCCGTGGCCCTGTTGGGGCTCTCTTCGAAACCTTTTGGGGCCCTCAGGGGCCTCTGTTGGGCAGTCCTGGGGTCCTCCTGGGCCGTCTGGGAGCCCTCGTGGACAGTCTTGGGGCCGTCTTTGGGGGGGTGGCCTTGGGGCCTCCTCGGCCGGCGCGGAGCCTGTGAAGACCAAAGAAACAGATATGCTAAACAGACACGTCTTCCCAAAAAGAAGAAACGGTGTTTGCCTCTGGGGCGTCCTTTTGGAGGCCTCGTGGAGCGTCTTAAGAACCTCCCTGGCAGCCTTGAAGCAATCCTTAGCCATCTGTGAGCGTTCTCGGGCCGTCTTGGGGCCCGCTCGGGCTTCCAAGAGGCCGTCGTGGCGGCGCTCTCGGGGCTGATTTCTTCCGACGGCGGCAGATGGGCCAGGAACACCCTAAGACTACCAAAGAGGCTCCGAACAAGCCCCCGAAGGCCCCCAACAGGCCCAAGGAGGCCCCCAAGAGACCTCCAAGAGGCCCCCAGGAAGCTCCAAGGAGACCCCACGAGTGCCCCAAGAGGCTTCCAAGAGGCGTCCGCCTTCTTCTTCCTCTCCTTCTCTTCCTTCTCTTCCTCCTCCTCCTCCTCTTCCTCCTCCTCTTCCTCCTCCTCCTCCTCCTCCCTTTCCTCACCGGTTCCCCGAAGGGTTTCAACAACGGCTGGGGGAATACACGGTCCGATAGCTCGAGCCCAACTTTCAGCCACATAGGCGCTTTCAAAAAGACAGGGGGCGGCGGTGATTGACCGTAGGCGTCTTCCATCGACGTCAAGTCAAACCTCGTCCTGACAAATGCTAGAAACATTTGCCTCAACAACACGTTCAATGTATCAAATAGGCACCCACGTTCAGGCAAACCTCCCCAAACGTGTCGCTCGAGGCATGATCATACCTGGGAACGTGCGAAAACACCTGCGAACACACGCTACGTGGTACGACGAGTGTGATGTCTCTATCCCTATGGCGTTTGCCCAATACTCAACCAGTAGAGTAGTTTTAGTTCTGCACTCCCAAAGCCCTGGGGTTGTCGGAGGGACGGGTTGGGGGCAGTGGACAGTCGTGACATCCGAGCCCGACCCGCCTGCGCATCACTAATAGAGCACACGCATCTACACCACGTTGGAGACGCGGAGGCTAAACTCCTGCACTCCGTCCGAATGAGGAACGAAGGATGCGCACCCCTCCTTGATAATCACCCCCTGTCTCCTCGCCGCTCGCCCCCTTGCTGCACCTCCCACCCTCGGGGCTGGGCGAAGTGCGACCACGGCTGTTCAAAAACGGTCCACGGACCCCTCGCGGGGTCGACACGCACACTCTTTCTCCGAGCTGCGGCCAGCCGTGGCGACGAGGGCCCCCTCCCCCGAAAGCCAGATACCGGTGTCTCAACCCGCCCGCCTCTTGGAATGCTTACAGGGCAGCTTTTAATATACAGGATTTTACATACATTGGATGTTTAATGCATGACTAACTTACAAATGAATCAATGCATACATTCATCGTTGTTTTTGATACTAAATCCCTCCATGTTTGATACATGATCCGCACGCGGAGCATGTATAAAAAAAACGGCACTGTATTCTGGGGGCCTTCCCGGAGCCACTCGCTCCGCTCGTGCGCCGAGGCTGCGTCGAACGTCCGTCGACTGGAGTCGAGCTCGAGCCGAACCCGAGGTCGAACCTGAGTCGAACCCGCGTCGAAACCGACTCGAACCTGTGTCGAACAGATCCGTTAAATGGGCCCAAATCAGGTCGGGCGAAAGGGGGGGATAGCAAAGGGGGGGTTTGAGAATCAGCTCGCGTAGCTGATTTTCCCAGCGCCTCCCGGCGCCGGAGGCGGCCATGTATCGAGGAATGGGCCCCTCGGTGAGGCCGAAACCAGCTGCATGCAGCAAATTTCGTAACCACCCCTTTCCCAATCCCCCACCTTTCGCTCGGCCCGACCCAAGAAGGTCCCCCAAACGAGCATCTGATCCTCTGATGCCGGCATCGCCTGCAGAATAGCGCCCAGTACCCGAAGGCTCGCTTGGCGTCCTCGGTCAGGTTCTTCACCGCGAAGGCCGCCTCCTCCACGGGGCCTCGCGCGCGTGCCCAGGGATGGTCGGCGGGGGCTTGTGCGTTTCAGGCTGCACGAAGAGAAGGGGCTTGCTGACTTCGCGCTCCGCCCTGAGATCTTGGCGTCTCATTTTTTGTTCGAGCCAGGGCGTTTTCGCTTTCTCTCGGGCCTCAGGCCCCACACACATCAATCCGTCTCGACAACTGACGCAGAAGCATGGGCTCCAGGGTCTTGGGGCGCGAGTTCTCACGGCGTCTCGATTTCGTGGAAGCGCCGGATCTCAGGGTGCGCCGCGAGAAGCACGTGCCTTCCCCGCCCCCCCCCCGCGCGGGGCGGAGCTAGTTGGCCCCCCGGCCCGGGCGTAGCTATAATATTACTATCAAAAGACGTGGGGGAACCGACGTCCTAGACAACCGAAAGCATACATTTGCAAGTTTTGAAGACATCGAGGAAGCCTATTCCCCATAGTCTGAGCACTCTTTGCCCACCTCGCTGCGCGGGGCGATCTCAGGGCAGGGAGAAGCCAACAGGCCAGCCCAGCCTTGGCGCGTCGAGGCGTGAGGGAGGGGAGCGGGGCGGCGGGAGGGCGCCGGAGGTGCCCCTGGACGGCTTCGAGGGTCCGAGATGTCCAGATGGGCGAGCAACGACATATGTACATGTACGCCCTCCGCAGTCTTGCCTGCACGAACGTCCGCGTTGACACGCACTCCAGGGGAAACTAACCGCGTACGTGTACACCCTGCGAAATGCTTAAGAAATCATGGGTTAAGAAATTCATAGTCAAAAACCCAACGTTTCTATTAAAAGCTTAAGATTTACATTGAAACGTTAAGAATCATCGAGACTCTGGACGAAAACTGAGGTTTTCTTAAGCATCGCCTGGGGTGTACATATGTTGCTGGCCTCTGACCAAAGCTGTCGCAGGGCAGCTCGAGGAGGCCTCCTCGATGCGCCCGCAGAGGCCCCAAGCTCCCCCCGAGGGCGGCTCCGCGTGGCCGCGGGGTCTCCCAGGGACGCGCGCTCGAGGTGCCCACACCACTCCGCGCGTGTGTGTGCATCGAGTGCCTTCTCGCCCTTTCGCTTACGATGGGCTGTTTAAGACCTCGAGCTGGAGCCAAGGCGACTTGACGGCGCGCACAAAGGGGGTAAGGGGGCGAGTGGGGAGAGCTTCTTGAAACAGAAAAACTGCTCCTTAGAAGGCGCCGGCCTTACATCTATACAGAAGGGCCCGCGCCTGCTAGCAAGCAGGGGTGCTTCTAAGAAGCCTTCCCCCCTCCCCCTCCCCCCCCTCTGCGCGTGGCCGACTTTAGGTGACCCACGAGAGCCCAAGACGACCCCCAAAGCACCCGAGAGGGCACCAACATGTGTTCTCTTCTCCTCCTCCTCCTTCTCCTCCTCCTCCCCCTTCCCTCCTCCTCATCCTCCTCATCCTCCTCCTCTTCCTCCTCCTCCTTCTCCTCCTCCTCTCTCCTCCTCCTCTCTTCCTCCCTCCTCTCCTCCTCCTCCTCCTCCTCCTCCTCCTCCTCCTCCTCCTCCTCCTCCGCCTCCCCCTTCCCCTTCTCCTTCCCCTCCCCGCCCCCCTCCCTGCTGGGGGAACCGCTCCTTCACTCAGAGCCAAGCTCCTTGGAACACTTCAGGTTTTGAACCGAATCGGACGCATCGGAGGCCTCCTCGAGGGGCTTTTGGGCCAAGATGGTTCAAGATGGCTTCGGATATCGCTCAACGTGGCCTCCAAGATTAGGGGGCAGACCATCCACCCCCTTAATCATCGCCCCGACACACGAAACCGTTCAGAAAAACGCACCCACACAGAAGGAATCGAACAAGGCAAGGCTGCTTAATGAACGCCCAGGGCCACTTAGTAAACGCCCAATATCGGGTCCGGGTGGCTGTTTCCTCCCTTGAAAGATAGCGCAATCTAGTTCCATATTGCTCAATATGTTTTCCTGCATGTCTTTAACCGGCTACAGGACCACCCCGGGACGGCCCCAGGTGAAAGACCACCACGAGGCCAAAATCATTCAATCACCTAATGGTAAAACGTGACGCTTGCCTTCTAGGACTGTCGTTTCCTAAGGACCTCCGAAGCCTCACGTTGGCCCGACGATCGCCCAAGAGAGTCCCAACATGAAGCCACAAGAAATTCAATAACGCAACAAGAGCGCCCCAACAGGGCTCCACGAGGAGATATTTCGAGCTCCAGCGGGGCGATGTCGCCAGGGCACGCTCATTCCTAGATCAATGCCCTCGAACATGGCTCCAAGAGAGGGCCCCCGAAGCCCACCAATGGCGCCCAGCGGGCTTCCAACATTGCCCCAAGAGGGTCCAAGATGGCATCCACAAGCTTCCAATGGACTTTGAGAGCGAAATTCTTGTGAATATCTCCATGATTGACTCCTGCCGTCGTCGTCGTCGTCGCCCTCCCCCTCCTCCTCCTCCTCCTCCTCCTCCTCCTCCTCCTCCTCCTCCTCAGGGACTCCTCCTCCTCCTCCTCCTCCTCCTCCTCCTCCTCCTCCTCCTCCACGTCTCCACGTCCTTGTTCGTGCCATCGTCTCCCCCTTCCTCCTCCATCCTCCTGCTCAAACTTCACTCCCTCCTCCTCCTCCTCCTCCTCCTCCTCCTCCTCCTCCTTCTCCTTATCCTCCGCCGCCTCTTCCTCCTCCCCCTCCCCCTCCCCCTCCCCCCTCCTCCCCTCCTCCTCCTCCTCCTCCTCCTCCTCCTCCTCCTCCTCCCCTCCTCCTCCTCCTCCTCCTCTCCTCCTCCTCCTCCCCCTCCCCCTCCCTCTCCCCTCCCCCCTCCCCCTCCCCTCCTCCTCCTCCTCCTCCTCCTCCTCCTCCTCCTCCCCTCCCCCCCTCCTCCTCCCCCTCCTCCTCCCCCTCCTCCTCCTGGACTCCTCCTCCTCCTCCTCCTCCTCCTCCTCCTCCTCCTCCTCCTCCTCCTCCTCCTCCTCCTCCTCCTCCTCCCCCCTTTCCCCACCATCGTACTCCTGATCCACTTTCTCCCCCGCATCCTCCTCCTCTCTTCCTTCTCCCCCTCCTCCTCCTTCTTCGACGGCAGGCTTGATCAGAAATTCCACCCTTCGGTATACTCAAATAAGTTACAAGCTTTGGCTTGACGGCTGAGCCACCGTGTCTGTTCCACCGGATGTTCGCACGCTTCCATGATCAGGGCAACTCGCCTGGCGATCGTTGATTGGATGGGCTGGTGGGGGTATGCGAAGCCTTGAAAATTCCCAGCAATGCCGTGAGAGGCCCAATTCGCCGAATGGGATGAAACGTTTCGGTCTTACCACGAGTGTTCGTCCAAGACGGTGTGCAACCGCGCTCACCACAACGCATGGTGGGTCGCCCCAGACAGGCTCCAGGCGGCGACCCGAGCCTGTCCAGAGGACCAGAGGACAGCCCGAACAAAGCTGGACACCAACCTGACGTGCCTACAAACGGCCTAAGATAAGACCCATACCGCTCCAATAAGACCAAGGACGGCTCCAGGAGAGGGCCCGATGCCCTCAGGCAGCCACAAGAACCTCCACGGTTCCACGACGCGACTAGGCCCCACGACGCGACTCTACAATTCCCTACTTACTACACTATAGCCAGATCAAGCACGAACTGAATCCTACTGGGGCCCGATCTCTAAGAGAATCTTGCCAGGGCTGGATCCAGCCTTCGTGGCAACTTTCTGGGGCTCGATCGCCGTCGTCGTCGTCGTCGTCGTCGCTGCCCGACGGCGACGGCGCTGGCGCGGGCGCTCGCCGGTCGGGTCGGTTCGACCCTCCCCCCTCCTGGCAAATCTTACTAGCCTCGAGCGTATCCCTATCCCTGAGATCGGCACGCCAAAAGGCGATGACAATCTTAGGGATTCGCCCTCAAAAAATAAGAGAATCCCTAAGATTGGCATCGTGATGAGGAGGTGCCCAGCATAGGGACAGGGATATGTTCCAGGCTGGTAAAATTCAGCCCCCCCCCCCGGTTCGAACCAACCCCCCTCCCCACCCACCCTCGAGGGGTGGGGGGGTTTTGGAACCCCCCTCCTCCCTGCGATTTCGGGGAGGGCCCCCCCCCCACGGCTCGAGCCCCCACTCCGCCCTTCCATGCGTCCTCAGAACGCGCTCTTTTTACCAGCCTGGAGCAGATATCCCTATCCCTATGTTGGGCATCGCCTCATCACGATGGCGATCTTAGGGATTCCCTTATTTTTTGAGGGCGAATCCCTAAGATTGTCATCGCCTTTTGGCGTGTCAATCTTAGGGATAGGGATACGTTCGAGGCTGGTGATCTTTCCAAGATGCACTCCTCGAACATACTCCTTGAAGCGCCGGAAAACACACGTACCTGTGCACCTCGCGACCCTATATGCCCGTGCGCACTGGCAGGAGTGCGCGATGACGCAAACGCGTATGTGCCCACCTCACTGCTCCCACCTGTCCCTTCCCGTCCAGACCCGACTGAAATAATGATTCTTACAGTCAGTGGAGGGGTCTCCGGGTGCGTAAGCCGTGTCGACCGCTCCCCCTGTTTTTCGTCTGGAGGGGGGGGCCGTGGCCAGGGGGATTCAGGATTGCACTGCGACGGGCGTCGCTTGCCCGTTGTTGGCCTCTCCTGTGGCCACAGGCACGTGCCGAGACCGGAACCGAGACCGAGGCCGAGACCTGACTGCTCCCATCTGCGCGACGACGTGGACTGCCAGGGCATGACGCGTGTGAGAGAGGCGAACAAGCGCGCGACCTTCCCAATAGTCTCCGTCCTGCTCGCCCTGCGCCGTGGACGACAACGGCTGGTCGTTCTGCGCCTTCCCTGAAACCAAGATCCGGACTCTGCTCGCGAGCCCAGGCCACACACGGACATTACCCTGCCGCTCTAACTTCGAGCATGGCCAAACAATGATCGGACGCGCCATCGGCTCGGAACTGAGCTACGATCCACGATCGAAATCGCGGAACGATGACTATGACCACGATCGGAATTGCCGAATCACGTTCAAATCACTACCATCAAAACCGCACACGCCGCGATTTCTACGATGGACCAGCCCGGACGGATGCAAATAGATCCGCCACCGTGCCTACAGCATGCAGTGGAACGGCCCAAGGCTCGTATAGATGTGAGTGCTCTAACGATTGCCTGAAAAGGCTAGGCCAAAACCACCGAAACTTGCCAGGCCAAACCACCACGTTGCCAGAAATCTTGGGCGCTCTTGGGCGCCCTCGGCGTTTCTCACGTTGGCCTCTGGGAAGCCCAAACCGCCCAAACAGACTCCAACGTTCCCCTACGGCATATTCGCGTCGTGTCGAGCCCAGCATTGGTTCCTGACACCGCGTGGATCGTTCCGTGAACGCCGAATCGTTCAACGACGGGCCGATTCTGGGCCACGGGCGGCGCTCAACCTGAAACGCACGCGGTGGGGTCGCCGCCGGTCGGCACGACGCGAACCTGCCCTAGAGCCTTCCAAGAGACGTTCAAGAGCACTTTGAAACCCTCGGTGGCCCCAATGGTCAGGAGGGGAAAAAAACACACAGACACAATTAATCGTCGACTCCCAGGAAAATATGGGCAAACATGGGAAGTGGGGGGGGAGACAGAAACCCAGAAAATATTGGAAAATATAGGGAATCCTTTTTATTTGTATTTATTTGTGTGTCCCAATTCCCCTTCAAATGGTCCGTCCTGGGGCTATCTTGGGGGCCTCTTCGGTCGTCCTGGAAGACCCGGGGGCCCAGCGCCGGGACCCGAATCGTTGGGGACCCAGGCCGTTGGGAAACAGTAGGTTTCCCTGTGATTTCCACACGTGATCATTCTCTTATTCGTTACTCTGCCGGTCGGCGCGGGCCCTTGCACCCCCCTCTTCCCCCCCCCCCCGTGGAGCAGGTCTTGGCTGTTTTTGGCGCCTGTTTCAGGCAGGTGGGGCCCCTCGCATAGGACGCACTGCGCCCAACAGCCGCACTAAGCAGAGGTCTGGAGCCAGACACCCCCCCTCCGTACCCCCCCCTTCCGCCCAATGTCGAAACGCCGAATAAGAAAACGCTCACCATACTTTGTCTTTTAAGTCTAGGGTGTATAAGCATGCCCGAGAGCCTCAAAAGACGAGCGCAAGACCTCCGATGCCCTCACAGCAGGCTACCGTTATGTCGGGGCTGTCCCCCTACAGGGAGATTTTCGACGAAAAATACAAAAATACACCAAAAATAAGCAAAAAAATGCAAAAATAGTCCAGGGACTATTTTTTGAATATGTTTGGACCTTTTTGGTGCATTTTGGGGGTATTTCTTTTTTTTTCGTCGACAACCCACCTGTAGGGGGACACGCCCGACAGCAGGCTGCCAAGAGGGGGAACTAGGCAATGTACCTATTCGAACGCCTCCGCTCGCCCCAGAAGCGGCCAGCAGGCCCCCCGAAGGGCCCCCAAGGGACCCCACGTTTAGTACTCCAAGGTGCTCCGAGTAGCCCCCCAGGAGGGCCCCACGAGGCCCCCCAAAAGCTCCTCGATGGAGCCCCGCAGAAGCCTCAAATACAGTCGATTCGTAGCATAAGGATGCGCGATAAGGATGCAAGGGCCTTGGACGCCCACGTCGAAGCTTCTCGGGCGGGGCGCGGCCGACGAAAGTGGCCAAGAATGGACCGAGGAGGCAAGAATGCAAGGGTACCTTTCCGACGCCACAAAGCACACATGTGCTAGGCCGGGAAATTGGAAAAGGGTCAGAAAGCACGTGCGGAGCGGGCACGCTTAAGCTGACCAAGGGAGCGGTTCAAAATCTTGCCGGAAACATGTAAGATACAACGTCGTCTAAAGCGACGGCCTCTGCTATGAAAGAGGAGACAGGCGTATGGAAGCAAATGACGCGGAATGCTGATGGGAACGTGTGCCGGCGATCGTTTCGGACAGGTTGCCTTTCCTTACCATGCGAGTTGACAGTCAGCCCCCAAGGGGCCTCTTCTCCACGACCAAGGGCCAAAGGCCCGAAGACCACCAAACGGCTGTGGGCATCGGAGCGCCGCGTGTCGGGTGTCCACGGTAGTCACCCCGAGACGCCGCCCTGGTGACTGCGCCCCAGCAGGCCTAGCCGATGCGCTCCGTCGGGATCCTACCCTGGCCCCGTCATTCCCCGACCTTGCACGAGAGCCAACAATGATGTTCCCGTATCAAGAAGGCCTTGGAGGGCCGTTTCGAAGCTTCTCGAGCGGGGCGCGGCCAACGACAGCGGCCAAGGATGGACCGAGCAGGGAAGGATGCAAGGGTACCCTTGGGAAGGCTGCCCATCCTTAAGTGCTCATCTGATCACTACAAGACAGGGCTGGACTTATACTATGTGCTTCGTTTTGCTTTCGTTTTGTTGCTCGTTTTGCTCAGTATGTTTTCCTCTACCTCCCTCCCAGCACGAAAAACAATACAGAGTTGAAGTCCAACAAAACAGCGTTTAGGTCCCACCCTGAAAACGAAGGTCCTGGGCTGCCGTCATCCTCACGGCGACTTGTCAAGCCAGATCCTAGTGGCATTGTGCTCGGCAGATGTGGGGATGTTTCGCCTCCCTGTCGCCCCTCTCTCCACCTTCTCCCATCCAGAAACACAGCGCTTGAGCCTCTCAAGACCTCGTCGCTGGGCCCGCATCAGCGTGTGGATGACCCCTCATTGGGCTCATGGGAAATCAAGCAAGGCTAGTGCGGGAATCGGCCAAAATTGTGATCTGAGCGGAGGTACTACATGTGGAAGTATGCCTCCTCCTCTTCCCGCGCCACGCTATACATCCCTGCCCAGCCCGCTTCCCACCATTGCCTGTTACCTCTACGATCGTATCTCTCGCAGCTTGGCGGCTCTCTTTCTCTCGACGCGCCCTCATCATTTCCATCGCAGTCCTCCCATCCTACAAGCATTCCCAAAGAGCCAGGACCATACACGGTGGGAATTGCCGAACAACTGCTGCAACAAACTCAAAGTCGGGCGCGGAAGAGTGCGCATAAGTTGGCCTGGGGCACCATGCGATTTATCTGGATTAGTTCAAGTGTCAAGGGCTTAGGATGGGGGTCCCTGGAACCTGTTTGAAAACTCGCATCGGGGCCTCCGTTGCTACAAGTCGCACGCTCGTCACCTCCCTCGGCTGTGCATCCCAACTCTCCGTATGCGTCGCTGTGTGGGGCTACCCATCCGCGCCATCACGAGGCTCGCCATGATCGTGAGAATCAGGAGCTCCACCCCATTGCAACAATGATCAATGCCCATCGAGCGAGAGGCCGCAATGTGAAAGGCGAGTTCACGCAATCGCAGAGAGTATCCAGTTGCGATCACACCATACTCGTACCACGAAGAAGAGGCATCTTGCCAGCGTGAACCCCAACCAATGAGTTACTGCGCTGCTGATGCTAAAGCATCGTACTGCAATCTGGGTGGTGAGCTCTAAGTCCTGTGAATGTGAAATACAATCGGCTATAGGACAAACAACCATCCTTCAAAAACACGAGACCCTTCGCCGGTCACACCACACATAACATCCTAGGGCATCCCCTCCAGGATGCACACGAACATCCAACAACCACGAAGAGCAGTCGGGTACCATCCCTGTGAGGTAACTAGGCTCAGGGCTGATCTGTAAGCAGAGCAGCACTATCATCAAGCAAGCAAGCAGCACGTGCAATAACTGCTTCATCCCACCAGCCCTCTGGGCGTAGGTGGTCTAACGGGATTATTTCCGTCATCTTACACAAAGCCCTCTTCCCCTTTGGGAGGGATTTACCTCTCCCCCTGCCTCCTCCCTTGGAAATTTTGGGCGGCGGTCGCGGGTGGTTAGAGGTCCCTTTTTCGGCCCCTGGGAGGACCAATGTTTGACACCCCGCACGAGGATCGTGGCCCCCGAGGGGGGAGGGGGGGGGGGCGATCGGGACCCTCACTCCTTTGATCGATAGCCTCGAAGATGGCCCCAAGAGGCGCTCCAGGGCTCCCAAGAGAGCCCCAAGAGAGCCCCAAGAGGGCCCCAAGAGGGCCCCAAGAGGGCACCCGAGAGGCCCCCAAGAGGTTCCCGAGCGGCCTCAGAGAGCCCAAGATGACCTCCAAGATGGCTCAAATAGCCCAAGCTGGCTCAAGATAGCTCCGAAGATGCTCCAAGCGGCCTCAAGACCGCTCCAAGAGCGCCCAAGAGCGCTCCAAGAGAGCCCCAAGAAGCGGTTTGCCAGCTCCTGAGGGGGGAGCTGAGTTGGGGACCCCCCCATCCTGTAATCGATGGCCTCCAAGATGATCCCAAGAGCCTTCCAGGGTTACCAAGAGGGTTCCAAGAGGGCCCCCAAAACTCCCAGAGAGCACCAGCAGCAACAGCCGCAATAATACCTCTACATGGTTCCATGAGTCCTCGTCCGCGTCGTCCTCCTCGTCCTCCTCGTCCTCGTCGTCCTCGTCCGCATCCGCGTCCTCGTCCTCCTCGATCTCCTCCTCCGCCTATTCCCCTCGCCCCCACGCGGCCCCCAGGGATGGCCCGAAGAGGCCTTCCAAAGTCACCCCCTTGCTCCCAGAGATCTCTCGGTTCACCCTGGTTGCTCGCTTTGTTTCCCTAGATGTGTCTCTTCCTCCCTTTTGCCGTCAACTCTCGATGGCAAGGCCCTTCGAGGCTTCTGAATGGGCTGGTGGGGATCCGCGAAGCGTGAAGAATTACACAGACGGTCGGTAACATGCCTTCCGTATTTATTCAGGCTGAACCCTGTTCAGGGCCGTTGAGCTTGGGAAACCGGGAGAGACACTAGCTTGACTCGTTATACAAAGTACGTTCGCCAGCCTTTGCAGAGACTAACCCATCGATCGCATACGATAACCTTGCGGTAATCATCACAATTCGACCCACGATTCTGGCTCCACATTGGTAGCAGGCAAAAAAAACACCTACGATTCAGGCTCCACATTGGATTCGACCCACGATTCTGGAAACCAAAAACTGCATGAAAAAAAATGCAACGCAGGTCTTCGCAAACTCGGGTCAGCCAATATGTGCGGCCGCCTCTCTGGCTGACCCCCGTTTGCATTGACCTCCGTCTCAAGGCTCCCGACAAGTGGAGGAGCTGCCGCAGCCGGGAACACCCGTCTTCAACGGCACGAGCAAGACAATTAAGAAGTACCACCGAGAGGTCGCCCCTGACACCTCTTTTCTTCGTCGCCGCCAACATGGTGACAAATGGAGGAGCTGCCGCAGCCGGCAACGAAGACAACGGCGGGGCCAAGATTCCAACACCAGTCTCCAACGGCACGAGCGAGACAGTCAAGAAGCATCACCGAGAGGTTGCCCCTCGGCAGATCGGCAGGGGTCAAGCCGCCCAGGCAGGGGACCGCGCTCGCGGCGAGCCTCGAGGGGAACGCCGAGGAGGCGCGCGAGGAGTTCGGCCTGGAGACGATCAAGGAAGACAGCTCGGTGCAGGTGTTTCTGGAGCATATCGGGGCTCGTGTTCCCGAGATCGAGGTGTTCGAGGCACCCGCGCTCCTCGAGACGTCTGTGGAGCCAACCTGCGTCAGATACAAGCTCGAAGACATTCGAGATTACAACAACCGCCTCAACGGCGTCGCCACGAAGCTGAGGACCAAGGGCATCCAGGTGCCGGACGAGGTCTTGGCCGATCTATACATCAGGGTGCTCGACTGCCCACGGAGAGCGCGGCCAGCGTGCTCACAGCGGTTGGCAACACATTCGACCTTGTATGGATCCAGGAGCAGCTGCTGATAAACTTGCCCAAGGTCGCAGCCGCGGACGGCTGCAGTGGCGACCACGACACAAGAGGCTACGGAGATTACAAGCAGGAGCACAAGCGGGTGTATGCCATGGAGGCCTAAGAGCGACGAGGGTAGAGCAGAGGACGATCTGTCGAGCGACAGCTCCGACGTCTTCGACGAGGCGGAGGAGCAGGTGGCGTTCTTTCGGGGAGACGTCAGATTCGGGTTGGCCTGACGGGGCCACCATGAAGATGACGAGACCCAGACTGAAATCTGACGCGAGCTCCCGCTGCAGACATCCCACGAAAACTGGACCGCCAAAATCCAGGGCGGGCTCGCCAAAAAACGTAAGCGGCCCCCAATTCTAGTCTAGTCGAGTCTTACGTGTCCCCAATCTCTCACTACCCAAAACCTCCGACGTAATGTTTTTGTTCATGATGTAGACCCCCAATGGTCTCGACCCATTCCCCGGGACCGGTTTTCATCCTAGATCGTTTTTGGACGGTCCCGAGGTCCGGTGAGAGCCCCCGGGAAAAACTCTCGCGTCGTGATTTTTTCATGACCCAAGGGGATCTGGGTACAGTATTCGGCCTGACCTAAGGAACGATAAATAAGGAGCGAAGCCCCTTTTTTTTCTCCAAACACGTCTAGGATATCCGAAAGAACACCCGGGCGGCTCGCCGCCAAAAAGGTAGCGGAACGCATGCAAACCAAAGGAACGACCGAGCCCCTTTTGACACGTAAGTGTTCCTTATTCAAGCCGGACCCTGTATCTCTCTCGACGCTCGCGTCGTGACTTTTTCATGACCCGAGGGAGGGAGGGAGGGAGGTAGGGAGGTGAGGAGGAGGAGGAGGAGGAGGAGGAGGAGGAGGGAGGTAGGGAGGGAGGGAGGGGAATCTGGGTAAGTATCTCTCTCGACCCTGCGACCGTCTGTCGATCCGTTTCCCGCGGGCCTCGCGCTCCCCTGCTTCTTCACCGAGCCGGCGGCGTGCGCGAAAAGGACGAGCGGAGGGAGGTTGCGAGCAGGCCCGCGGCCCCATCGCCGAGAGAGGGGCGGTGACCGGCCGCTCAAGACGGTGGACCCCAGTATCAGGTCTAGAGGCCTCGTTTCAAGGGGCCCAAGGACACACACATAAATGCACACAAATAAAAAGATTCCCCATATTTTCCATATTTTCTGGGTTTCTGATTTCCCCCCCACTTCCCACATTTTCCAATATTTTCTGGGGAATCGAGGATTAATTGTGTCTGTGTGTTTCTTTTCCTCCTGAAAGACGGTGGACCCCAGGATCAGGTCTAGAGGCCTCGTTGATGGGGTCCAAGTAGATTGGGTCGGAGGATCGCGCAGCATCGACGATGCATCGGCGATGCATCGGCGATGCGCTGGCGGTGCATCGGCGACGACATCGGGCTCCACATCGAGCCGCATCGCCGATGCATCGCCTCCACATCGAGCCGCATCGGCGATGCATCGGCGATGCGGCGCGATCCTCCGACCCCATCTAGGAGGTCATCGACCGCAAGTGCGGCTGGGACCTCCTCAAGCAGGAGGACCTCGAGATGACACGCGGGGTCTTCTACTCCATGAAGCAGAAGTTTGCGTCGATAAAGCTGCCCTGCACGTAGTGCGCGAACATCGCGCCGCTCAACTACAACACGCCGCAGAACAGGCAAGTAATGCGGCAACGCTGGCGAGCAGAACGGCCATTCATCTTCTTGGCAAACGATTTCTTCAACTTCAACTTGACGCGGGGAACATGCCCATGGTTCACAACCCGGCCACCAACCGGATCTGGGTACACCACGGCTTGTCGCAGCTACAAGCCGACGAGCGCGTGTCCCAAGTGAGGTGCGATATAGTCGAGTACGGAGCGCGACGCTACAAGACGGGGCTGCCCATCAAGCACCCCGCCGAGCTGCTAGTCACCCGCAAGGAGTTCGAGCAGCTGGGGCGCACCTGCAGCCATGGGCACGCGCACGACCAAATGTTTTGTAACAGCGTGGCGGTGGAACCCATGGTCTAGCAAATCCTCCGCCGGCAGCGTGGGCGTCGCGCCTACGAAGTTGACTGCGTCCCTTCTTCTTCTTCGCCCATCGCCATGGCGGAGCCGAGAGAGCAAACCACCGCCTACGTCAACGACGCTGCGACCCTGGCAGAAACGGGCGAGCCCACTGGGGAGCCCAACCCCATGGGCGGCGGAGACGACTTCGCCGATGCACTGAAGGCCGACGAGACTATGGACGGCAGGATCGGGGTCGGCGCGTCACATCCACAAAGAAAGCAGCAGCACGCTGCATTCCAGCCGAATCAGCCATGCTCAAACGATTCATGTCCTCTACAGGCAGATTCTGGACGAAAAATAAAGAATGCGAAACAGATATTCAAACATGACCAAAACTGCTTCAAACATCGCCCCCGACATTTTTTTCCTATGTTGGAATATGCCTCCTGTGGAGGGACGTGCCCGGCTTAAAACAGGCGCTAAGTCGGCCACCATCCAGG